ATCCCTTGAGCCTGGGAGACAGAGGTCGCAGTGAGCCGAACCTGGGAGGCGGAGGTTGCAGTGAGCTAAGATCATGCCATTGCACTCCAGCCCGGCAACAGAATAAGACTCTGTTTCAAAAAAAAAAAAAAAAAAAGAGCATCTTACACAACCTCAGACACAAAGATAAAGAGAGAAATGTTGGAATGGGCCTTGGCTATAGACCTCTGTATTTTCCACTTATCTGGGCTTCTAAGTGACTTACAGCCTACTGTCTCAGGAATAAGTGAGTATCCTCAAAGCCCAGAAGGAGGAAGGCCCAGGGCTCCAGGCTGAGGCCTATAGCAGCTCCATCCTCACTGGAGCCTATTATCCTTAGCAAACCAACACAGGAACAGAACACCTAATATTGCATGTTCTCACTTACAAGTGGGAGCTAAATAGGGAGAACACATGTTCACACAGAGGGGAACAGCAGACAGTGGGGCCTCCTGGAGAATGGGAAAAGGGAGAAGAGCAGAAAAAAATAACTATGGGGCCGGGCGCAGTGGCTCACGCCTGTAATCCAAGCACTTTGAGAGGCCGGGCCGGGCGGATCACGAGGTCAAGAGATCGAGACCATCCTGGCCAACGTGGTGAAACCCCCGTCTCTACTAAAAATACAAAAATTCACTGGGCATGGTGGCACGTACCTGTATTCCCAGCTACTTGGGAGGCTGAGGCAGGAGAATTGCTTGAACCTGGGAGGCGGAGGTGGCAGTGAGCTGAGATCATGACACTGCACCCCAGCCTGGGCGACAGAGCAAGACTCTGTCTCAAAAAAACAAAGAAAGAAAGAAAGAAAGAAGGAAGGAAGGGAGGGAGGGAGGGAGGAAGGGAGGAAGGGAGGAAGGAGAAAGAAAAAATAACTATTGGATCTGTTGGATACTAGGCTTAGTGTCTGGGTGACAAAATAATCTGTACAGCAAACCCCTTTGATACGAATTTACCTACTTAACAAACCTGCATGTGTACCCCAACACCTTAAAAGTTAAGGCGGGGCATGGTGGTACATGCCTGTGGTCACAGCTACTTGGGAGGCTGAGGCGGGAGGATCCCTTGAGCCTGGGAGACAGAGGTCGCAGTGAGCCGAGATTGTGCCACTACACTCCAGCCTGGGTAACAGAGCGACACCCCATCTCAAAAATAATATTAAAAGGTTGAAAACTAAAGTTTACTTAGACAAATAAATAAAATGATGTTTTTGCAAATTATGTCACAATCTGAAAAATATTAACTAAATAAACCAAGGCCGGATACGATGGCTCATGCCTGTAATTTCAGCACTTTGGGAGACCGAGGTGGGTGGATCACTTAAGCTCAGGAGTTCCAAACCAGCCTGGGCAACATGGCAAAACCCCATCTCTGCAAAACCTTAGCCAGACGTGGTGACGCACGCCTGTGGTCCCAGCTGCTCGGGAGGCTGAGGCAGGGGGATCGCTTCAGCCCAGGAGGCAGAGGTTGCAGTAAGCCAAGACCGCAACACTGCACTCCAGCCTGGGTGACATTGTGTGACCCTGTCTCAAACGAAAAAAAGAAAGAAAGAAAGTGGGCTACTCCCTGCTTACTGGGTAGCCCTGCTTTGCAGGAACAGTTAAAGAAAAAATAAGAGGCCGGGGGTGGTGGCTCATGCCTGTAATCCCAGCATTTTAGGAGGCCGAGGCGGGCAGATTGCCTGAGCTCAGGAGTTCAGGACCAGCCTGGGCAACACGGTGAAACCCAATCTCTACTAAAAATACAAAAAATTGGCCAGGCGTGGCAGCGTGCACCTGTAATCCCAGCTACTCGGGTGGCTGAGCCAGGAGAATTGCTTGAACTCGGGAGACGGTGATTGCAAAGAGCCGAGATCACACCCTTGCATTCCAGCCTAGGCGACAGAGCAAGACTCCATCTCAAAAAAAAAAAAAGGAAAGAAAAAGAAAAAATAGAGACCGGGCACAGTGACTCATGCACTTTGGGAGGCTGAGGCGGGCAAACTGCCTGAGCTCAGGAGTTCGAGATCAGCCTGGACAACATGGTGAAACCCCATCTCTACTAAAATACAAAAAATTAGCTGGCATGGTAGCACGCGTCTGTAGTCCCAGCTACTCAGGAGGCTGAGGCATGAGAATTGCTTAAACCCAGGAGGCAGAGGTTGCAGTGAGCTAAGATTGTGTCACTCCAGCCCAGGTGACAGAGCGAGACTGTCTCCAAGAGAAAAAATAGATAAATTGAACAATACAAAACAAAAATAAAGGCACAGTGTAAAATGAGAGGAAAAAAAAGAAAAATTCCATCCTCCTGATCTGAAAACCTGCTTTTGATTTCGTTGCAGGCTTTTGGAAACGCCAAGACAGCCCACAACAACAACTCCAGCCGGTTTGGGAAGTTCATCCAAGTCAGCTACCTGGAGAGTGGCATTGTGAGAGGGTGAGTCAGTGTCCCTGGGGTCCCTACTGGTGGGACCCGGCCCCACGCGCTGTTGCTTCCCGACACACACACGGGAGTGAGATGTGGAGGTCATGGCTCTGCGAATGTTTATGCTTCGTACAGGAGAGCGAGTGTGATTTAAAGTCTTTGAGGTGAAGGTCTGGAGCAGTAGGTTGAGGTAGGAAATGTGGGCAGGGGCTGGGGGACATGGCTAGAGGTAATGGGCTTTACCGAAAACAGGCAAGGACAACAGCGCAGCCCATTTCTTGTCTTGATAAAGTTTCAAATTTAGTAGGTCTTAGGGGTGTCACAGGCAATAGGGATGTAGACTCTGGACTTTGCCAAACATGTGTCCCTTCAGCCAGAAAATGACAAGCACAGAGCAGCAAAGTGAGGTGGTTGTGCATTGGGAATACTGAAGGGTGGGTGGGTGGATGGACTCATGAGGGGATGGATGGATGGATGGAGGATGGATGGATGGATGGATGGATGGATGGATGGATGGATGGGTTGGTTGGTTAGACAGACAGATGGATTCATGGGTGAATGGATTTTCAGGTAGATGGATGGACAGATATATGGATGGGTGGATGGGTGGGTGGGTGGATGGATGGATGGATGGATGGATGGATTCATGCATGGATGGCTGAATGGATGGATAGATTAATTCTTGGGTGAATGGATTCATGAGTGGATGGATGAATAGATTCATGAATGGGTGGGTGGGTGGGTGGGCGGATGGATGGATGGATGGATGGATAGATAGGTTAATGGGTGAGTGGATTCATGGGTGGATGGATGGGTTCATGGGTAGGTGGATGAGTAAATGGGTAGATTCATATAATGAATGGGTGGGTGGGTGGGTGGATGGATGGATGGATGGATGGATGAATATATAGGTAGATTTATGCGTGAGTGGATTCATGGGTGGCTGGATAGATGGATTCATGGGTGGATGGATTTACAAGTAGATGGATAGATTCATAGGTAGGCGGATGAATAAATGGGTACAGTTGTGGGTGTGTGGATGAGTGGATGGATGGATAGATAGACGGATTCATGGGTGGACGGATTCGTGGATGGATAAGTACATGGATTATTCATAGATGGATGGATAGATTCATGGGTAGGTAGATGAATAAATGGGGAGATTTGTGGATGTGTCATTAAGCAAATGGATAGATTCATGGGTAAATTGGATGGGCTTGATCAGTGGATGTATGGATCCATTGATGGATAGATGAGTACTTAGATGGCATCTGACAGGGTCCAAGGCCTGGATACTCACAGGAATCCACCACCTAACTCCAGATTCTCGTTTGAGGGGCTGCTGTGTCAATGGGATTTGTAAAGGTCCCAGGATTTTGTCTGTCTGAACCTGACTGATGATCATTTCAACTGATGGTCCATATTCAAGATACAAGCAGGCACATTGTTCTCCTGAACCCTTCCGCCTCTAGCTTCATTCCTTTTTCCCACTGCCCAGGCTCCAGTAGGCAGTGGTGTGGGTGAGTGGCCCTTGACAAATGTCAGGGGCTGCTCTGGCCCCTTGGCCTCAGCCCCCACAAGGCAGTCAGTGGCCCCCCAACTCCTACCATCTGCCCACACAGGTGTGCCCAGTTCATCAGAGACACCTGGAACAGCCACTTGTCCCACCTGTCTTCCAGGCCCTGACCTTCTCTCCATGAAGACCCCACCTTTTTCACTTCATATTTTGGGGGTTAAAATACACAACATAAGGCCGGGCATGGTGGCTCACACCTGTAATCCCAGCACTATAGGAGGCTGAGGCGGGTGGATTACCTGAGGTCGGGAGTTCAAGACCAGCCTGTCCAACGTGGTGAAACCCCCGTCTCTACTAAATTAGCCAGGCATGATGGCAGGCACCTGTAATCCCAGCTACTCGGGAGGCTGAGGCAGGAGAATCGCTTGAACCCAAGAGGCGGAGTTCGCAGTGGGCCAAGATCACGCCACTGCACTCCAGCCTGAGCGACAAGAGCAAAAGTCCGTCTTAAAAAAAAAAAAAAAAAATTAGCTGGGCGTGGTGGTGCATGCCTTTGATCCAGAAATTACAGGTGTGAGCCACGCCACTGCACCCAGACACTATGTTTAGTTTTTCTTTTTTTTTTTTTTTTTTTTAAAGACAGAGTTTTGCTCTTATTGCCCAGGCTGGAGTGCAGTGGCGCAATCTCAGCTCACCGCAACCTCCGCCTCCTGGGTTCAAGCGATTCTCCTGCCTCAGCTTCCTGAGTAGCTGGAATTACAGGCATGTACTACCACGCCCAGCTAACTGTGTATTTTTGGTAGAGATGGAGTTTCTGCATGTTGGTCAGGCTGGTCTCAAACTCCCGACCTCAGGTGATCTGCCCACCTTGGCCTCCCAAAGTGCTGGGATTACAGGCGTGAGCCACCGCGCCTGGCCGTTTAATTTTTTAAGAAGCCGCCATACTGTTTCCCACAGAAGCCACACCATTTTACCTTCCCATCAGCAGTGCACAAAGGTCCCCACCTCTTATCTTGGATTTTATTTTTCTTCCCATGGGTCCGTCTTTTGCACGATCCTATCTGCCACATTGCAGAGATTTTTAACCCACAGGAAGCATTCAGGGTACCTTGTTGGGAAGATGACACAGATTCTGTTGCTACAATTCCAGGCCTCCCTTGGGGAGAAACTAAGCTGCCTCCTCGTCTTGTCTGGGTGTCCAGCTGGCTCTGGACAGACACTACAGGATTGACCTCCGTATGGGCACCGCCCCCTTTCCCACAGTATCTCTGTCTGCATTTCCTAGGAGGGATTGCCATAACAGTGTACAACAGACTGTATGGCTGAAACAACAGGAATTATTCTCAACATCCCGGAGGCCAGAAGTCGGATATCAAGGTGTCCACAGTGCTGGTTCCTTCTGGAGGCTCTAGGGGAAGATCCTGGCTACCTCCTCTAGCTTCTGGTGGCTCCCTTGGCTTGTGGCCACATTACTCCAATCTCTCCCTCTGTCTTCAGGTGGCCTGTGTCTCTCCTGTTTTATGTTTTTATTTTTATTGTTTTGGAGACGGAATCTCACCCTGTCGCCCAGGCTGGAGTGCAGTGGTGCTATCTCTGCTCACTGCAACCTCTGCCTCCCAGGCTCAAGCAATTCTTGTGCCTCAGTCTCCCGAGTAGCTGGGATTATAGGAATGTGCCACCACACCCAGCTAATTTTTGTTATTTTTAGTAAAGACAGGGCCTCACTGTGTTGGCCAGGTTGGTCTGAAACTCCTGGCCTCAAGTGATCCGCCTGCTTCGGCCTCCCAAAGTGTCGGGATTACAGGCGTGAGCCACCACCCCCGACCCCCTCTTCTCTTATAAGAACATTTGACATTGGATTTAGGGCCTGTCTGGATTATTAAGGATGATCTTGAGGTCTTTAACTTAATGGCCTCTGCAAAGACCCTTTTTATTTTTTGAGATAGCATCTTACTTTGTTGCCCAGGCTGGAGTACAATGGCATGATTATGGCTCACTGCAGCCTTGAACTCCTGGAGTCAAGTGATCCTCCTGCCTCAGCCTTCTGAGCAGCTGGGACTACAGGTGCACACCACCACACCTGGCTAATTTTTTATTTTTATTCCGTAGAAACAGGGTCCCACTATGTTGTCCAGGCTGGTCTTGAATTCCTGGCCTCAAGAGATCCTTCCACCTTGGCCCCCCAAAGCTCTGGGGATTACAGACATGAGCCACTGTGCCCAGCTCCCTTTTTCCAGATAAAGTCACATCCCCAGGTTCCAGGAGGCATAACTTCCAGGGCCCGCCGTTGGACCACACACCAGAAGGGCTGTCCTGGCCCAGCCCATAGCTAAACGGTTCAGCCTCCCTTGCCTTCCCCAGGGTGCTGTCATATTCAGGACCAGTGGCCCTCTGTGACCAGGTCTCCCAGACCAGCTTTGGAAAGTCATATCTGTGGCCTTGGATTCAGGAAAGGGAGTCCTGCCTCCACCCACAACCTCAGGACTGTGGCCATCCTCGCCCCAGGGAGGGAGGCGCACTTCCCATCCCAAGAATGGCCACAGCAATCACACAAGGAGCCGGCTCGGACCGGTTCTGCTTTTGCCTACCTTCAGGCAGGTGACACTTCTCCATGCCATTCCCACGAAAGCCAAGGGTCAGGCGTAGTCCAAGCCTCCCTGCCCAGTTCCCCAATTTATGAGGCTGCAGCTTCCTGTGTGTTCAAGGACTCAGTGCCGGAGGAGCCCTGGGTCCCTGTAAGACCCATTTATTAGGCCCAGGCGTTGAAAATGATTGGGGAAGGGAAGGGGTCATCATCGGTCAAGCGACATTTTGATGCTAGACACCCAGTGTGCTAGCCCTGCCATCCTGCCACTGTGGAGCCATGTCCTCTGCCAGACCCGCAGATGCAGCACAGGGAATCGGCCACCAGCTAAGATTGAAACATGAGGCTCCTTCTAGAAACAGACACAGCCTCCCTCCCCAGGAATGCAGGAAGGTGCTGAAACTGGTTACTAGCCCGGCAAAGGAATAGAAGGAAACATTTTTTTCTCCTATTTGGAAGAAGAGAGGACCTAGGCCAGGCCCATCGAAAGTCACCTGTGCATCGTGTATGTCCCTATGTGAGCCTGCAGACAAAAGACTGCTGTCCTGGGCTGGGCATGGTGGCTCATGCCTGTAATCCCAGCACTTTGGGGGACTGAAGCGGTTGGATCACGTGAGGCCAGGAGTTCAAGACCAGCCTGGCCAACATGGTAAAACCCCATCTCTACTAAAAATACAAAATTAGCTGGGTGTGGTGGCGCATGCCTGTAATCCCAGCTACTTGGGAAGCTGAGGCAGGAGAACTGCTTGAACATGGGAGGCAGAGGTTGCAGTGAGCCGAGATCATGCCACTGCACTGCAGCCTGGGCAACAGAGTGAGACTCTGTCTCAAAAAAAAAAAAAAAAAAAGACTGCTGTCCTGGAGAGACAGGCAGGCGGCATTCAGCAGGCCCTGAATCAGGAACCTTGTGCTGTACCCTGGCCCTGCCACCCCTTGGGCACCAGCTGTGTCTCCTGCATAACAGGATAAGCTCAGATGAGGGTGATCTGGAGCCCCCAGTGAGCTCACATCTCTAGTGATGGCGGACCCCATGATAGACCGGCCCCACCAGACTCAGCCAGCCCCAGCTGGTGCGAAGTGATCCCACCAGGCCACCCGCTTCCCACAGGACCCTGGGCAGCACGTAGTCTCACCAAGCCTTGGCTCCTTGTCCACTCCTCAGGAGCCACCGTGCCTGCCCCAGCGTGTAAGAGGAGTCCCTGAGAAATATATCAAATGATGCCTAGAACGTATTTGTCCTCGAAAAAACATTCCCTGCCACTACTTTTAGCATCGAGAGATATTTGGGGCTGCAGAGACACCGTAGTCCCTGTGCTGGCACCCTCAGACTCAAGGTCCCACATGATGCCAGGTGCCTCCTGAGGGACCTCTGAGAATTTAATTTGGAGGAAACACCTTAACTGCTTGGCACAGAGAAAATGATTGGCAAGGCCAGGAGCAGTGGCTCACACCTGTAATCCCAGCACTTTGGGAGGCCGAGGCAGGTGGATCACCTGAGTTCAGGAGTTCGAGACCAGCCTGGCCAACATGGTGAAATCTGTCTCTACTAAAAATACAAAAATTAACTTGGCGTGGTGATGGGCACCTGTAATCCCAGCTACTGGAAAGCTGAGGCAGGAGAATTGCTTGAACCCAGGAGGCGGAGGTTGCAGTGAGCGGAGATCACGCCACTGCACTCCAGCCTGGACAACAAGAGCAAAACTCCGTCTAAAAAAAAAGAAAAAGAAAATGATCGGCAAACGGCAGAACACCAGACCGTATGGATACAACCAAGTATTGATGGGTATCACAGACCCCTGGGCTTCCAAGGACACTGTGACAAAATTGGAGAGGAAGCCCCAGACCCAGAGAAGGTACCTGCAAATCAGAACCAAGAAAGGACTTGCATCTAGAATATAGAAAGAGCATTTACAGCTCAATAATAGGACCAACACCCCAATAAGAAAACCACAAAAGACGTCAATGGATACTTTATCAGAGAAGACCTATGAATGGCCAGGCAGCATGTGAGAAGATGTTTTTGCCATTGGTCATCACGGAAATGCAAATCCAAACCACAGTGACAGGCCAGATGCGTGGCTCATGCCTGTAATCCCAACACTTCAGGAGGCTGAGACAGGTAGATCACTTGAGGCCAGGAGTTATAGAACAACCTGGACAACATGACGAAACCCCGTCTCTACAAAACAACAAAAATTAGCCTATAGTCCCAGCTACTCGGGAGGCCGAGGTGGGAAGATCACTTGAGCCCAGGAGGACAAGGCTGCATTGAGCCATTATTGTGCTGCTGCACTCCAGCCTGCACAACAGAGCAAGATCCTGCCTCAAAACAAATGCTGCAGTGGCTCATGCCTGTAATTCCAGCACTTTGGGAGGCTAAGGCAAGTGGATCACCTGAGGTCAGGAGTTCGAGACCAGCCTGACTAACATGGAGAAACCCCATCTCTACTAAAAATACAAAATTAGCCAGGCATGG